CTGCACTGCTCAGGGGGAAGCTTGAAAGGCCAGAAGTAGTCTGTCACCTGGCTGCGTGGACGACAGACTACCTCACCAACAGACCACAGTACGTAAAGTAAAGTAAAGTTTATTTAGGAGATGGTGATTGACTCCCGCAGGACCCCAGACTGCACCGGTGAACATCCAGGGCTTGGACATTGAGATGGTGGAGACTTACTTGGGTGTTCACCTCAACAATAAACTGGACTGGTCACACAACACCGATGTCCTGTACAAGAAGGGCCAAAGTCGACTACATCTGCTGAGGCGACTGAGGTCCTTTGGAGTGTGCAGGACTCTTTTACGGACATTTTATGACACTGTGGCGGCGTCTGCACTTTTCTATGCAGTGGTCTGCTGGGGAGGAGGGAGCACAGAGAGAGACAGGAAGAGACTGAAGAGACTGGTCAGGAGGGCCAGTTCTGTCTTGGACTGGACTCTGGACTCTGTAGAGGAGGTGGGTGAGAGGAGGATGTTAGTGAAGCTGACATCCATCATGGACAACCCCTCTCACCCACTGACACTGTGGGGGGTCTGAGCAGCTCCTTCAGCAGCAGACTCAGACACCCACCCTGCAAGACCGAGCGCTACCGCAGGTCATTCATCCCATCTGCAGTCAGACTGTTTAATCAGACTCTATAACAGCATCACCACCTCATGACTCATATAAATAATGCTACACGCTGTGTGTTTTTAATAATAACTGTCTTTCCACAAGTGAAAGTTCACATACCTAGTATTATTCTATTATTGTATTTTTCTCCCCGTTATATAATTGATGTAAATGTTTGTTTTTCTATTTTTTTGCTATATTTGATAATTATATTCCTGTTTTTTGAGTTGTTGAAACGAAAAAATATCCCCCAATGAGGATCAATAAAGTTTATCTTTGACTTTATAACGAGATGCTCCTGAAACACATTCAGGCTTCGTGTGACTCAGGAGGTAGTAAATAAATACTGGATCCCCACAGACTGACACTCAAACACCTTGTTACCCCTGATTCTGAGATAATTATCTGGTTAATTCAGACAAATAGAGCAGGTTTTTATCTTGTTCGTGCTCTACCTCTGGTCACTTCCTGTCAGCACCTGTGCTCTGCCTCTGGTCACTTCCTGTCAGCACCTGTGCTCTGCCTCTGGTCACTTCCTGTCAGCACCTGTGCTCTGCCTCTGGTCACTTCCTTCCAGCCCATGTGTCTGATCAGACTTAAAGCTGTTTGTTTGCACTTCCTGTTCTTTCCTCTCTAGATTCTCGCTTGTGTTGTTCTTAGTCTCTGATGTACTTTGCTAGGGAATTGTAGACCCTTCTGTAGAAACCTTGTGAAGAGTTGAAGTTATTTTGTGTGTGTGAAGAGGTGACAAAGATAAACTGTGAAACTTTTAATTAATAATTGGGAGTTTAAAGCTTCATCAAACTAAAAGAAGAAAAAAAGCCATTGAGACAAAGTGTTTTTAAAACTGAACATTTATCTTTTTTTCTCCAAAACTGTAAAACTGAATCGTACAAAGTACCATCAAAGACTGCGTGTTGATAAAGGAGATCAGAAACACAGATTTAATCTCTGAGAGTGTGAAGCACAGATGATCAGTTTTATCTCCAGACCTTTAGCTCATCAGCAAAACTAAGGAATCTGAATCAACTGTTGAAGAGACGACGGTTCTTCATCCTCAAAGATTTCAGTTAAAGGCATTTTAGTAAAATCAGACACCCAGCAAGGAGAGTTTAGGAGTGAAGTATCCGCCTGAAAAAGCTTTTCAAAATAAACTCCATAAAACAGGAGGTTTATTTATGACACATCATATGCAAAAGAAGCAAAGCTAAAATTACTATGAAGCTTTGGCTGATCCTGAAGAATTTTAGATGTTTCTGTTTGAAATCACAGCTTTGCTTTTGAAATACATCCGTCTGTTCAAGATAAATTGGAACTCATTTCAATTTATTACTCGGAAATATTCCAAAGGTAATGAACACTAAGATCCTCTGGATTCAATGTATTACACCTGTGTGCTGTTTGTCCTTTCTCCCCTTCTGTTGTCTCCAGCTCTGCCCAGGTGAAGCTACTCGTTGCTCAGCGAGATGCCCATGGCCTCAGTGCTGAAGTTGGTTGGTGCTGAGTTCAAGGTTTGGGTTGGTGCTGAGTTCAGGAGGTCCCTCAACCACCGCCCGACGCCCAGCCACCACCATCGAACTGTGTTGTCCCCACAACCATCCCCGTCCTTATTCGTGCACAGCCTGCTCCGACCTACCTTAGGGGCAAGGAAGTGTGGACAACAGGAATGCAAGGAATATAAATCCTGCCTGCATGTTATCCCATATGCTATTTTGTAAAGCGTCTTGAGATAACACTGAATTGACTGAATTGGGTTGGTGCTGAGTTCAAGGTTTGGGTTGGTGCTGAGTTCAGGGTTTGGGTTGGTGTTGAGTTCAGGAGGAGGGTTGGTGCTGAGTTCAAGGTTTGGGTTGGTGCTGAGTTCAGGGTTTGGGTTGGTGCTGAGTTCAGGGTTTGGGTTGGTGTTGAGTTCAGGGTTTGGGTTGGTGCTGAGTTCAAGGTTTGGGTTGGTGCTGAGTTCAGGGTTTGGGTTGGTGCTGAGTTCAGGAGGAGGGTTGGTGCTGAGTTCAGGAGGAGGGTTGGTGCTGAGTTCAGGGTTTGGGTTGGTGCTGAGTTCAAGGTTTGGGTTGGTGCTGAGTTCAGGAGGAGGGTTGGTGCTGAGTTCAGGGTTTGGGTTGGTGCTGAGTTCAGGAGGTCCCTCAACCACCGCCCGACGCCCAGCCACTAACATTAGACTGTGCCATCCGAACCGACGCCCAGCCACCACCATCGAACTGTGTTGTCCCCACAACCATCCCCGTCCTTATTCGTGCACAGCCTGCTCCGACCTACCTTAGGGGCAAGGAAGTGTGGACAACAGGAACGCGAGGAGTATAAATCCTGCCTGCATGTTATCCCATATGCTATTTTGTAAAGCGTCTTGAGATAACACTGAATTGACTGAATTGGGTTGGTGCTGAGTTCAAGGTTTGGGTTGGTGCTGAGTTCAGGGTTTGGGTTGGTGTTGAGTTCAGGGTTTGGGTTGGTGCTGAGTTCAAGGTTTGGGTTGGTGCTGAGTTCAGGGTTTGGGTTGGTGTTGAGTTCAGGGTTTGGGTTGGTGCTGAGTTCAAGGTTTGGGTTGGTGCTGAGTTCAAGGTTTGGGTTGGTGCTGAGTTCAGGGTTTGGGTTGGTGCTGAGTTCAGGAGGAGGGTTGGTGCTGAGTTCAAGGTTTGGGTTGGTGCTGAGTTCAAGGTTTGGGTTGGTGTTGAGTTCAGGGTTTGGGTTGGTGCTGAGTTCAAGGTTTGGGTTGGTGCTGAGTTCAGGAGGAGGGTTGGTGTTGAGTTCAAGGTTTGGGTTGGTGCTGAGTTCAGGATTTGGGTTGGTGCTGAGTTCAGGGTTGGGTTGGTGCTGAGTTCAGGGTTTGGGTTGGTGCTGAGTTCAAGTTTGGGTTGGTGCTGAGTTCAGGAGGAGGGTTGGTGCTGAGTTCAGGAGGAGGGTTGGTGCTGAGTTCAGGAGGAGGGTTGGTACTGAGTTCAGGTGCTGAGTTCAGGTTTGGGTTGGTGCGTTCAGGTTTGGTTGGTGCTGAGTTCAAGGTTTGGGTTGGTGCTGAGTTCAGGAGGAGGGTTGGTGCTGAGTTCAGGAGGAGGGTTGGTACTGAGTTCAGGAGGAGGGTTGGTGCTGAGTTCAGGGTTTGGGTTGGTGCTGAGTTCAAGGTTTGGGTTGGTGCTGAGTTCAGGGTTGGAGTTGGTGCTGAGTTCAGGGTTTGGGTTGGTGCTGAGTTCAGGAGGAGGGTTGGTGCTGAGTTCAGGAGGAGGGTTGGTGTTGAGTTCAAGGTTTGGGATGGTGCTGAGTTCAGGGTTTGGGTTGGTGCTGAGTTCAGGGTTTGGGTTGGTGCTGAGTTCAAGGTTTGGGTTGGTGCTGAGTTCAGGGTTTGGGTTGGTGCTGAGTTCAGGAGGAGGGTTGGTGCTGAGTTCAAGGTTTGGGTTGGTGCTCAGTTTAGGGTTTGGTTGGTGCTGAGTTCAGGGTTTGGGTTGGTGCTGAGTTCAGGAGGAGGTTGGTGCTGAGTTCAAGGTTTGGGTTGGTGCTGAGTTCAGGGTTTGGGTTGGTGCTGAGTTCAAGGTTTGGGTTGGTGCTGAGTTCAGGGTTTGGGTTGGTGCTGAGTTCAGGGTTTGGGTTGGTGCTGGTGGATTAGGGACTACTGCGTTCTGCCTCTCAGTCACGGATTGTGAGTTGTGTTTTTGAGTTGATGTTGGTTTAATCATGTTTTTCTTTGTATCTTATTAAAATTCCATAGATTTAACTTTAAATTGTCTTATGTGCTTCATTAAGTCAAACTGTGGTTACCAGTTGGCGCCGTGGGGCGAGATAAATGAAGTGTGAAAGACTAAAGCTTCTTTTTGAAATAGCACCTATCGTAAAATCCGGTGTATAAGACGCACTTTTAATATTTTTTTGTCTTAAAAGTTGGCGTCTTATACACCGGTGCGACCAATATACCAGTATAAAATACTGACACACGCGCCGTCATTACAGCGGGTACAGCAGCCACTAACTGCGACCTGATGCGATTAAAAATCCCTCTCCATTCATTGAGGATTAAAAGCTGGTTGCACGCTGTGCTGGGAGAGACGGCGACACAGACCAGGCTGGCTGCGCAACTTTTTCCACATCTTTTCTCCCTCACGAGGTCATAATCATGCATTTACAGACAACAGTGGTAGTCTATATTGTTCAGTAAATAAACCCTGTGGAGTGTTCTTTTGATTGAAAGAGTCCTATATTAAATATTATTCTCCTGTTCTATGGTATCAGGGTTCTGTGTTCCCCTGTTTGATGGTATCAGGGTTCTGTGTTCCCGTTTGATGGTATCAGGGTTCTGTGTTCTTCTGTTCTATGGTATCAGGGTTCTGTGTTCCCCTGTTTGATGGTATCAGGGTTCTGTGTTCTCCTGTTCTATGGTATCAGGGTTCTGTGTTCCCCTGTTTGATGGTATCAGGGTTCTGTGTTCTCCTGTTCTATGGTATCAGGGTTCTGTGTTTTTCTGTTCTATGGTATCAGGGTTCTGTGTTCCCCTGTTTGATGGTATCAGGGTTCTGTGTTCTCCTGTTCTATGGTATCAGGGTTCTGTGTTCTTCTGTTCTATGGTATCAGGGTTCTGTGTTCTCCTGTTCTATGGTATCAGGGTTCTGTGTTCCCCTGTTTGATGGTATCAGGGTTCTGTGTTCCCCTGTTTGATGGTATCAGGGTTCTGTGTTCTTCTGTTCTATGGTATCAGGGTTCTGTGTTCCCCTGTTCTATGGTATCAGGGTTCTGTGTTCTCCTGTTTGATGGTATCAGGGTTCTGTGTTCTTCTGTTTTATGGTATCAGGGTTCTGTGTTCTCCTGTTTGATGGTATCAGGGTTCTGTGTTCTTCTGTTCTATGGTATCAGGGTTCTGTGTTCTTCTGTTTGATGGTATCAGGGTTCTGTGTTCTCCTGTTTTATGGTATCAGGGTTCTGTGTTCTCCTGTTTTATGGTATCAGGGTTCTGTGTTCTACCTACAACTCTTTGCAGTTTCTCTGATTTTATTTGATTATCCGTCAGTTCATTTTGTAAAGATGAAAAGTTTCAAACGGAGACTTGAACAGAACATGAACATTGTTCTCCTTTTTTATATTCTGACATCTGAGTGAGGAGAGAAAAAAGTGGATTGTCTTCAAGCGATCATGAAAATATATAAACAAAAAGAAGAAGCATAATGGACATTAGGGGTTACCATAGCAACTTCCTCCCCAGCCCAACATTTGGTATCAACTTTGAAAGAGAAAACAAAAATAATTTTCCGTGTGTGAAAACACAAGCAGGCGAATACTTCACTCCACTTTGGTGTCAATGGTTTTTAAACAGGATCAAAAAACTGTACAGGGACTGTAGAAACTGGGGGAGGGCGGTCCTGTATAAACCTGGAGGGGGGCTGTGTTTGAAGGGGGGTAAGAAGGAGGCGGGGCTCCCAGGCTTCACTACCTGTGGACTGGAAGGTGCAGCCCGTTGAGGGAGGGGGATGGATGGGGGGGCTTCAGCTCTAGCTGGGCGAGAAGGGAGAAGTGGTCGGAGGGGATGTGGGGGTGGGGGCAGCCGGTGATGTTGTTATTGACGAGCCATTGGCTGTCCAGCGGTCCCATCAAGCCGAGCGCGCTCAGATGAGTCTTAGAGAAGAAGATGTAGTCGATAACTCCCTGCAGGTAAACAGAGAACAGGAGATCAACCAAATCAATGAAACAATCAATAAATAATAATTAATAAATTAATAAATTAACTAATAAATCTGAATCAGAACATGATGATCATGTGTTTACTTCAAGACGTACATTTAGTTGGTGTGAGGCATCAGGTTGCCGTGGTTACCGACATGTTTTTACCTTAAAGTCGTACGTGTAGTTGGTGTAAGGCATCAGGTTGCTGTCGTAGGCGCTCTTCAACTTGAAGCCGTGGGTGATGCTGCCGTCTGAATTGCCGTTCTTCCCGTTGCAGTTGAAGTTGGTCAAACATTCACTGTAAAGGAGCTCCTTGAAGTCCTTGTGATTTTCGGCAACACCACCGTTGCTGAGGTATTCAACCACACCTGGATCACACACAGGTAAAATGTAATTGGCTCTAAAAATCCATAAATTACATTTCCTATCACGGAGTCAAAGTATTTTCATGTTTAAATAAAGTTTTATCTTAGTTATTTTAGAAGAATTAAACTTAACATGATCCGACTCAGGTCATTATTATTATAATTTTTTTAATATAATTATTATGATTGTTTATTCAGATGGTCGTACCGGAGTCGGGCAGTGAGTTGAGGTCGGCACAGAGCACAATCGGTATGGACGACGGGTCGGAGGACTGCGAGCTGGTTGCCATGGAGCCTGCAGCCCGCTCAGCGATGCTTTTTAACTCCGACAGAAACATCATCGTCTGGATCAACTTCACGTCCGAGAACTCGGGGTCCCAGTGCATGTGGGCGTTCGCTACCAGGATCAGCTGCCTGTCCTGAGGAGGCTTCACACCTGAAACCATAGAAGAAGAAACTGAGTTACAGCGCAGGTGTTCTCTTTAAAAGCCCAGCAGGCAAACAAAATCTTCAACACAAAAAACAAAATATTATACTAAATAAGTTTAAAACTCCACTACGTGGAAATGGACCCTAAACTATGTGAATGTGATGTCTAAGACAATCGGGAGCACACACTAAGTCTACCTAACCATCCACCCTAGCCCTTGTCTCAGTCCTGACATTATGCCACCCCAAACCAGCGGCTGCCCATGTAGCCCATCACCTGTTGGTGGACTGCGGGGCCCTCTCAGTCCACCAACAGGTGTTGGGATCATCTGTCCTTTTTATTCTACAGAGAACCTTTTTATCATAATAATATAGAGATAATAATAATATATAAAGAAAACAAGTACATGTGGGGTTCTGTTGTTCTACAGACAGACGGTTTGTCTTGTCTGATCCTCTTACCTCCAGAGAAAATGTCCTTGTTGACTTCGAGCAGCACGGCAACGCCGATGTTGTCTTTGGTCATCACTCTGTTCAGCATCACCTCGGAGCCCTCAGAGTTCGCCATGGCGACCTGGTTAAACTCGACGGTGTGTTTCTGGACCAAAGTGAACCTGCAGAAATAAAGCATCGAGGCTTTTAAAGTAATTTTTTATTTAACAAATTTATTTAATAAATTCTCAATGTGTCGACGTTTGTCAGTCAGAAAAACGTAAAACATAAATCCTGTGACTTTTTAAAAACACTTGATAATTCAAAATACTTTTACTCACTTCTGTGTCTTGAAGAAAACAGCGCAGCCGTCCACATGTTTCCTCTCCGGCTCAGAAACAAGTTTAGCTCGAGACTTCGGACAGAAATATCCGTCATACCCATGATCCTTCAGGGTTTCTAGAAACAAAGTGTAGTACTGCTCCGTCTCCACCTCCTACACACACACAAAACAATAAATCAGGTCAGACTGGATGAATGGCTGCAGTATAGGCCATAAGCTCCGCCTCCTCCATGTTAACTGATAAATGTTTCTCAGATGCATCGTTAGTTCTTATCATGATGATTTATGTCACAGTGTTAATTTTTCTGAGAAGTTTAGTTGTAAGTAACTATTTGATGACATAAAAAGGAGTATAACACCATGATTGACAGCTGTATTGGCCAATGAGGCTCCAGCGTTGCTGTGGGCAACCAGACTTTCAGAGTAGAGGAGGAACAGTGTCAGTGTCTACTTCTAACCGACACAAGAATCTGTTCTGCTGTGGACTGAACCCACCTGAGTGACCTTTGATCTTTTAACGGGAAGTTCAACCTGAGGGACCAAGGTACAGGTGTGTTTTGGTTAGAGGAAGGGACGGGACGTCAAAACCTACGCTATTGAGTGTACTGCACAACTCTTGATTCAAAAGATGTCAGCAGTTCAATGTCAGCGCTGGTCTCAGGGGGAAACTTTGTTTTCGTCCATCTTTATACAGTCAGTGGATTCATCCAATCAATCAATCAATCAATCAATCAATCAATTTGTAAGCGAGCAGAGTTTAAAAGAGGACATATCGTCCCCCTCCTCCACCTTTTCAAACAGTCCCCTGTGGTCTAAATGAAACATCTGTGCTGTGCTTTGGTCAAAATATAACATGAATCAAGCACCAGAGGAGGTTTGTGACCCTGAATAAACCAGCTCTCTCAGAACGCTCTGTTTTGGTGTGTGTGTCTCTTTAAAGGCAATGACCCCCCCCCCCCCCCCCGAGTTTTCCCCGTAGACATCACTCCTCTGTAGCGAGAATAAAAATAGCGGACTTGCACAAAAGTTTTGTTCTAGTCTGGGGGTGGAGTCCATGTGTGGAGATATCAGGGGAGGTTTTTTGAAAAGCACATTTAAAACTGAGTATTTTTCTCTGTGTTGTAAGACTTATGCAGACCACAAACAAAGGACTGGATGAATTTGTTTCACATGTTGTGGGTCAGTAGACTCTCAGGTTACCCAGATATATGTTCAACAACACTGTAGAAGTGGATTTTCATATTTCCCCTTTAAATTTGATGTGAGCAGTAACTGGGAGCCAGCGGAGGGTGATGAACAGCGTGACATTTGCTGTTTTTGGGGAGGTTGAAGACCAGTCGCACTGCTGCGTTTTGTATCATCTAGTGCATGTAGGAAGCCAATAGTCGATGCGTGATATCACAAGAGCCTGTACCAGGAGCTGTGTAGCGTGTTCTGACAGGTAAGGTCTGATCTTCCTGATGTTGTTCAGGGCAAAACGACATGACCGGGCAATCGAGGCTACTTGAACCTTAAATGTTAGCTGGTCATCAATCATGACACCCAGGTTCCTGCAGACTTTGTGGGCATGAGTTTGGTTGTTCCAAGCTGGATATTGATCTGTGGTCGCATCAAGGTCTCAATTATCTCAACAACTATCAGCTAGACAGGTTTAAATATCACGTTTTAAGAGATGACACCTGGCAAGTTCTCCTTAAGCAACACCTTTAGACAAAAGTGTAATTTAGTCATAACCTTTAATTTCATAACAATTTACCTGACACACAATTTACCTGACACCTGATAACACGCTATCAGTATGCTACTAAGCTAAACTATGATGGGTAACAGTAATAATATTCATTGGCAAAATGTTAGCATTGTTCTTGCTAGCATGTGAGCCTGCTGATGTAACCATTTAGATAAGGGTTGAGCAGCTAGCTAAGCTTTACCTTCTATTAACCATGCTAGCTAACCTGCAGGCTGATGATGTCACAGTGCTAACTCACCTGCAGGCTGATGATGTCGGCGTCACAGTGCGTGATCTCCTCCATGATGCCTTTCTTCCTGTACTCCCAGCTCAGCGCCCATGACGGACAATAGCCATACAGCTGCCGCGTGGCGTATTTATCACACAACACGTTATAACACATGACGGTGAACACGGCTGCAGAGGTGAGATGGGGGGGGGGCAAATTGAAGAAGAGGATACAGTTTAAAGTTTTGTTTCTGACTGAAAATAACCCAACCCCTAGAAGCTTTACATTCAGACATTAAACTCTAACGTACCTGTCGGACTCGTCTGGTCTCTCTCCCTCAGAGTGATCCACGGTCTCTGGGGCAGCTGCTCAGGGTGAACTAACACAGGTACAGGTGAGAGTTACTCATTAAACTGTGACAAACACAGGTTAAACATGTTCTTATATACCTGTGTATCTCAGGTAAAAATGGAGCTCAGGTGAGATTACCTGCCAGATTATCCAGCATGTAGTTCAGAAGTTTCCGGGTTCCATCAGGTTCCTGGTACAGGTTCAGGATGTCCTGGGACAGAGGGTTTCCTATAAAACATTAAGTTATAAGACATTTTTTATACTTGTATTTTATAATCTGGTGTTAATAACAATACAAACATATTCATAATGAAGGAGAACCTTTAAGTCCCAGGGTTTGCAGCTGGAAAAGTCTCCCCAGTTCATAAGGCAGGACTCGTAAAAGATTGTTGTTTAAAAGTAATTCCCTGAAAAAATTAAAATAAAGATTATCATCTTTATGAAAGCAAAAACATCTTGAAACCAAATTTATTAATTCTGCTTCAGATCAATGAGTCAGAGCAACGTCTAGCAAAGTTTGGAAAAAAGATTTACAACATGACAAAACATGACAAAAAACAATCAATCAACATGTAGGGAGTCATGTTGCCCTCCTGCTGCTCACCTGAGAGAGACATGTTGCCCTCCTGCTGCTCACCTGAGAGAGACATGTTGCCCTCATGCTGCTCACCTGAGAGAGACATGTTGCCCTCATGCTGCTCACCTGAGAGAGACATGTTGCCCTCATGCTGCTCACCTGAGAGAGACCATGTTGCCCTCATGCTGCTCACCTGAGAGAGACCATGTTGCCTAGTTCGGCGGGCAGGCTTCGCAGCTTGTTGGATGACAGGTTTAGGTAGACCAGGTGAGGCAGTTTGGCAATGTCGGGGGGTAGGCGGGTCAGGTTGTTGTCGTTGATGTGAAGTGCTGTCAGGTGAGTGAGCGTCCATAAAGAGTTGCTTAGACTCCGAACACGACCTGAGGAACAAAAAATGGGCCAGATGGTAAACGGACTAAAGCTTGTAGATTTATTTTCTTGCCTTCTGACAACTCAAAGAGCTTTTACATCGCATGTCACGCCTACACATTCACACACTGATGGTAGAGGCTGCTGTGTAAGGAGTCCATCAGTATTAACTCATCCATTCATACACATTCACACACTGATGGTAGAGGCTGCTGAGTAAGGAGTCCATCAGTATTAACTCATCCATTCATACACATTCACACACTGATGGTAGAGGCTGCTGTGTAAGGAGTCCATCAGTATTAACTCATCCATTCACACACATTCACACACTGATGGTAGAGGCTGCTGAGTAAAGAGTCCATCAGTATTAACTCATCCATTCATACACGTTCACACACCGATGGTAGAGGCCGCTGTGTAAAGAGTCCATCAGTATTAACTCATCCATTCATACACGTTCACACACCGATGGTAGAGGCCGCAGTGTAAAAAGTCCATCAGTATTAACTCATCCATTCATTTATACACGTTCACACACCGATGGTAGAGGCTGCTGTGTAAAGAGTCCATCAGTATTAACTCATCCATTCATACACGTTCACACACTGATGGTAGAGGCTGCTGTGTAAAGAGTCCGTCAGTATTAACTCATCCATTCATACACATTCACACGCTGATGGTAGAGGCTGCTGTGTAAAGAGTCCGTCAGTATTAACTCATCCATTCATACACATTCACACGCTGATGGTAGAGGCCGCTGTGTAAATAGTCCGTCAGTATTAACTCATCCATTCATACACATTCACACGCTGATGGTAGAGGCCGCAGTGTAAAGAGTCCGTCAGTATTAACTCATCCATTCATACACATTCACACGCTGATGGTAGAGGCCGCTGAGTAAAGAGTCCGTCAGTATTAACTCATCCATTCATACACATTCACACGCTGATGGTAGAGGCCGCTGAGTAAAGAGTCCGTCAGTATTAACTCATCCATTCATACACATTCACACGCTGATGGTAGAGGCCGCTGAGTAAAGAGTCCGTCAGTATTAACTCATCCATTCATACACATTCACACGCTGATGGTAGAGGCCGCTGAGTAAAGAGTCCGTCAGTATTAACTCATCCATTCATACACATTCACACGCTGATGGTAGAGGCTGCTGAGTAAAGAGTCCATCAGTCGATCTAAAACTGAGTCACAGCCATCTTTTAACATAAATATAGGTTCATATTAAAGCTGACCTTTAACCCTCTCAGGGTTGGTTCATAGCATCAGACCCACAGTAAAACTGATCGACCTACCTGAGATCTCGAGTTCGGCCCAGTAAGACTTCTTCCCGTTGGCCGCCTCCTCAGCTGACATGATGGTGTAACATCGACGAGGATCAGGAGGATCATATTTTTCTTTGGGCATAACTGTCAATCTAAACAAAACAAAAAATGTTTAAAAACAAGAAAAAACAGTTCTTTATGACCTTTTATAAAGGTGAAATAGACATGTTATTAGCGTGTTATAGTAATATAAATATTAAAGTGTATTATACATGTTATTAGCATGTTACAGTAATATACATGTTACAAACATGTGATAGGCATGTTAGAAGCGTGTTATAGTAATATATATTAAAAGTGTATTAGACATGTTAGAAGCGTGTTATAGTAATATATATTAAAAGTGTATTATACATGTTAGAAGCGTGTTATAGTAATATATATTAAAAGTGTATTATACATGTTAGAAGCGTGTTATAGTAATATATATTAAAAGTGTATTATACATGTTATAAGCATGTTATAGTAATGTATATTAAAAGTGTATTATACATGTTATAAGCGTGTTACAGTAATATACATGTTATAAACATGTGATAGGCATGTTATTAGTGTGTTACAGTAATATATATTAAAGTGTATTATACATGTTTTAAGCGTGTTATAGTAATATATATTGTTGTTGTTAAGTGTATTATACATGTTTTAAGAGTGTTATAGTAATATATATTAAAAGTGTATTATACATATTTAAGCGTGTTATAGTAATATAAATATTAAAAGTGAATTATACATGTTTTAAGCATGTTATAGTGGTATATATTGAAAGTGTATTATACATGTTATTAGCGTGTTATAGTAATATATATTAAAAGTGTATTATACATGTTATAAGCGTGTTATAGTATATAAATATTAAAAGTGTATTATACATGTTTTAAGCGTGTTAGTAATATATATTATACATATTTTAAGCGTGTTATAGTAATATATATTATACATGTTATTAGCGTGTTACAGTAATATATATTATACATGTTATTAGCGTGTTATAGTAATATATATTATACATGTTATTAGCGTGTTATAGTAATATATATTATACGTTATTAGCGTGTTACAGTAATATATTATACATGTTATTAGCGTGTTACATTAATATATATTATACATGTTATTAGCGTGTTACAGTAATATATATTATACATGTTATTAGCGTGTTACAGTAATATATATTAGCGTGTTATAGTAATATATATTATACGTTATTAGCATGTTATAGTAATATATATTATACATGTTATTAGTGTGTTACAGTAATATATATTATACATGTTATTAGCGTGTTACAGTAATATATATTATACGTTATTAGCGTGTTACAGTAATATATATTATACATGTTATTAGTGTGTTACAGTAATATATATTATACATGTTATTAGCGTGTTACAGTAATATATATTATACATGTTATTAGCGTGTTACAGTAATATATATTATACGTTATTAGCGTGTTACAGTAATATATATTATACATGTTATTAGCGTGTTACAGTAATATATATTATACGTTATTAGCGTGTTACAGTAATATATATTATACATGTTATTAGCGTGTTACAGTAATATATATTATACATGTTATTAGCGTGTTACAGTAATATATATTATACATGTTATTAGCGTGTTACAGTAATATATATTATACATGTTATTAGCGTGTTACAGTAATATATATTAGCGTGTTATAGTAATATATATTATACGTTATTAGCATGTTATAGTAATATATATTATACATGTTATTAGTGTGTTACAGTAATATATATTATACATGTTATTAGCGTGTTACAGTAATATATATTATACGTTATTAGCGTGTTACAGTAATATATATTATACATGTTATTAGTGTGTTACAGTAATATATATTATACATGTTATTAGCGTGTTACAGTAATATATATTATACATGTTATTAGCGTGTTACAGTAATATATATTATACGTTATTAGCGTGTTACAGTAATATATATTATACATGTTATTAGCGTGTTACAGTAATATATATTATACGTTATTAGCGTGTTACAGTAATATATATTATACATGTTATTAGCGTGTTACAGTAATATATATTATACATGTTATTAGCGTGTTACAGTAATATATATTATACATGTTATTAGCGTGTTACAGTAATATATATTATACGTTATTAGCGTGTTACAGTAATATATATTATACATGTTATTAGTGTGTTACAGTAATATATATTATACATGTTATTAGTGTGTTACAGTAATATATATTATACGTTATTAGCGTGTTACAGTAATATATATTATACATGTTATTAGCGTGTTACAGTAATATATATTATACGTTATTAGCGTGTTACAGTAATATATATTATACATGTTATTAGTGTGTTACAGTAATATATATTATACATGTTATTAGCGTGTTACAGTAATATATATTATACATGTTATTAGCGTGTTACAGTAATATATATTATACGTTATTAGCGTGTTACAGTAATATATATTATACATGTTATTAGCGTGTTACAGTAATATATATTATACGTTATTAGCGTGTTACAGTAATATATATATACATGTTATTAGCGTGTTACAGTAATATATATTATACATGTTATTAGCGTGTTACAGTAATATATATTATACATGTTATTAGCGTGTTACAGTAATATATATTATACGTTATTAGCGTGTTACAGTAATATATATTATACATGTTATTAGTGTGTTACAGTAATATATATTATACATGTTATTAGTGTGTTACAGTAATATATATTATACGTTATTAGCGTGTTACAGTAATATATATTATACATGTTATTAGCGTGTTACAGTAATATATATTATACGTTATTAGCGTGTTATAGTAATATATATTATACATGTTATTAGTGTGTTACAGTAATATATATTATACATGTTATTAGTGTGTTACAGTAATATATATTATACATGTTATTAGCGTGTTACAGTAATATATATTATACATGTTATTAGCGTGTTACAGTAATATATATTATACATGTCATTAGCGTGTTACAGTAATATATATTATACATGTCATTAGCGTGTTACAGTAATATATATTATACATGTTATTAGCGTGTTACAGTAATATATATTATACATGTCATTAGCGTGTTACAGTAATATATATTATACATGTTATGAGCGTGTTACAGTAATATATATTATACATGTTATTAGTGTGTTACAGTAATATATATTATACATGTTATTAGCGTGTTACAGTAATATATATTATACATGTTATTAGTGTGTTACAGTAATATATATTATACATGTCATTAGCGTGTTACAGTAATATATATTTTACATGTTATTAGTGTGTTACAGTAATATATATTATACATGTTATTAGCGTGTTATAGTAATATATATTATACATGTTATTAGCGTGTTACAGTAATATATATTATACATGTTATTAGTGTGTTACAGTAATATATATTATACATGTTATTAGCGTGTTATAGTAATATATATTATACATGTTATTAGCGTGTTACAGTAATATATATTTTACATGTTATTAGTGTGTTACAGTAATATATATTATACATGTTATTAGCGTGTTATAGTAATATATATTATACATGTTATTAGCGTGTTACAGTAATATATATTATACATGTTATTAGTGTGTTACAGTAATATATATTATACATGTCATTAGCGTGTTACAGTAATATATATTTTACATGTCATTAGCGTGTTACAGTAATATATATTTTACATGTTATTAGTGTGTTATAGGTTAGTTGTGACTCCTGCAGTGAATCACACTGTAGGCCTACATGTTAAATATAAACACAGTGAGTCTGAGAGCAGCTTCATGAGGTCAATCGGAGGTGAACATTATATAACCTGTTCACTGAATCACACACAGGTATAAACTTCACACACACCTGAGATTTATCTCTAATTTAACGGTTTAAACATTATCCGCTGTTGTTCTTTAATTTAAACAACTTTCAAAGTATATTATATAAAAGTAGATGAAGCTAAGCTAGCTGCGCTAACAGCTGACAGACCAGAGACGGGAACACTGTGTGACTTTAGGTCCCTGAATGTGACATGTTGGAGCCGCTCAGCACCTGTCACACCTGGCTGTCACACCTGGCTGTCACACGCTCACCGTAACCCCTACATGTTCAATGTGTTTACACTGTTAAATATCATTACAACGGAATAAACACGGATTAAAACCGGGTGAACCGTACAGAGAGCTCAAAGCACCGCGATGGATTTATATTTGTAGCGGCTTCAGGACGCTCTCTGCCCGGCTTCAGGACGCTCTCTGCCCGGCTTCAGGACCCTCTCTGCCCGGTGTCACCGAGGCGGAGCTGGTTCAACAATGAGGCGGATTAAAGTGTGACTTTAACCCGGGACGACTCGGACTACGAGTCCGCAGCGTGACAACAAGGTGTGGAGAGTGTTTACCTTCATTCGGGGCAGTGAGAGAGGATCTTTGGAGAGAATCGGTGGAGACATGCAGACACAGCTGATGAACCCGATCAGACCCTGAACGTCTCGGAAACGCAACAAGAACAACAAACGTCACTTCCGCCTGATTCCGTCTTCTTGATGTGGTTATATTTTTGATTATTTATTATTTATATTTGAATTAAATAAAGAAAATAAAACTCAGGACGCGTGAGGGAGGATGTAGAGTTCGGTCCCTACTTTAATAGTTTAACGTTTAAAAAGTGAAGACTGGTATTTACAACAAGTGTCATTATATTTACTGAACTTAAGATAAAAGCTCAGCTCCGGGATATACACTTTATATTCTTTAACAGATTAATTATTACAAACTTTAATTGATAAACAATTCCGTGTCGTTATGTCCCAGGTGGAACCTTTGTGTAGTTGACGTTGTTTCCACACGGAGGAGCAGCAGTCCCAGACATGGCTACCTGCACGCGGACTGTGTGGAAAGGTCAGTAGTTTTTAATTTAACAGAAAAAAATGAAATAAAACCTCATATATTTATTTATTTAAATCATTATTGTTATTGCAGCCTGTTAGCATGACAGCTAACCGGTCCGCTGGCTGTCGCGCTCATGACGTCACAACGAACCTCATGTAAAATAGTTCAGATTTAACCATTTTCTCTTTAAATCACCCTTTAGACTTTTCTATAAAAATAATTAAATGTTATATCTGTTATACTCAAGGGTCTGCCTTTAATTCGGCATTAGTTATTTAGGTAAGGGACCTTTTTACTATCAGCTAAAGACGGTTTTCAGTCATGTTAAATAGTGTTGTGTGTAACTATAAATCTGCACAGGTAAAAACAACACCAGGCTGACTTTATTTAACTTTATTTAACTTTATTTAACTTTATTTAACTTTATTTAACTTAAACTAGTCCGCACGTTTTCACGTTTTTGATGAAAACATTTAAATTGTCTTCTGTATCATTTAATGTGCAAAGTGTGATTGAACTTCATGAAGAGTTTTTTGTTTTTTAGTGTTTACAGGATGTCAGAGGCAGCTGAGAGCCCGAGGCCCCGCCCACACAGGCGTGTCACAGATGAGCGTACCTGTCAGGACCTTCGCTGCCGTCAGGTGACTTCACAAACCTTTTATTTACAAAGTCTCAGGGTGAAGCTGTGAAGCACATCAGTCTGTTCATGTCAAAGATCAAAGAAGAGAAACAAAGTTAGGAAGCCCGTACGTTAAAGGTTCTGTGATCTCCGTGTTCGTCAGGGCGATGAAGAAGGAGAAGAAGAAGGAGGAGGCGGAGAAGGAAGTGAAGAAGGAGAAGAGGGTGATCGACGATAAAGACAGACACAAGCCGTACGGGAAGACGGCGTGGGCGCCAGTCGATGACGTGTATGTGATGAGGTTTTACCCGAGGACGATCCACGGTGCGGCGGACGCCATCGACCTCCTGAAGAACTTCCAGGTTTTAGACTTCACGCCCAAAAATCAGGCGGTTTTCATCGACCTGAAGCTCGACATGAAGCTGGAGAAGAAGGTACGAAAGAGACTCGCGTTTAGTTTTTTAAATATTTTTTTAGAGATCGGCTGAAAGAGAGAGAGTCTGTTGACCTCTGACCTCATTTATCTTAAAGGTTAAATATCTTTACTGATGTTTTATTCTGAAACTGTTTCACTGGAGAAACTTTTAATCTGAAATTCTTTGCCCTGTTTCCTCCTCAGAAAAGAGTCGACCAGTTCGTCAGCGTCGTTCACCTTCCTCATCCCTTCAGGACGACGGAGAACAAAGTTTTAGTTTTTACTGAAGTAAAATAATATAATTTATTAATATAAATAAATATAAAAAGATACAAAAATAACAACAAGATCACTTTTAACGCTGTGTGTGTGTGTGTGTGTGTGTGTGTGTGTGTGTGTGTGTGTGTGTGTGTGTGTGTGTGTGTGTGTGTGTGTGTGTGTGTGTGTGTGTGTGTGTGTGTCTCTGTGTGTGTTTTAGGACGAGGATCAGGTGAGAGAAGCTCAGCTTCACGGAGCGATGTTAGCTGGAGGAGCAGAGCTCATTCAGCCGGTGAGTTTATAAACAAACATCAAGTTTTTTTTTGTTTTTTTTGGGGGGGCTTTTTGTGCCTTTAAAGGAGAGAGAGGACAGTGGATAGAGTCTGAAACCATAGAGAGAGAGGACAGTGGATAGAGTCTGAAACCAGAGAGAGAGAGGACAGTGGATAGAGTCAGAAACCAGAGAGAGAGAGAGAGGACAGTGGATAGAGTCAGAAACCAGAGAGAGAGAGAGAGAGGACAGTGGATAGAGTCAGAAACCAGAGAGAGAGAGAGAGAGTGGATAGAGTCAGAAACCAGAGAGAGAGAGAGGACAGTGGATAGAGTCAGAAACCAGAGAGAGAGAGAGGACAGTGGATAGAGTCAGAAACCAGAGAGAGAGAGGACAGTGGATAGAGTCAGAAACCAGAGAGAGAGAGAGGACAGTGGATAGAGTCTGAAACCAGAGAGAGAGGACAGTGGATAGAGTCTGAAACCAGAGAGAGAGAGGACAGTGGATAGAGTCAGAAACCAGAGAGAGAGAGAGAGGACAGTGGATAGAGTCAGAAACCAGAGAGAGAGAGAGAGACAGTGGATAGAGTCAGAAACCAGAGAGAGAGAGAGAGAGGACAGTGGATAGAGTCAGAAACCAGAGAGAGAGAGAGGACAGTGGATAGAGTCAGAAACCAGAGAGAGAGAGAGGACAGTGGATAGAGTCAGAAACCAGAGAGAGAGAGGACAGTGGATAGAGTCAGAAACCAGAGAGAGAGAGGACAGTGGATAGAGTCAGAAACCAGAGAGAGAGAGAGGACAGTGGATAGAGTCAGAAACCAGAGAGAGAGAGGACAGTGGATAGAGTCAGAAACCAGAGAGAGAGAGAGCAGTGGATAGAGTCAGAAACCAGAGAGAGAGAGAGGACAGTGGATAGAGTCTGAAACCAGAGAGAGAGAGGACAGTGGATAGAGTCAGAAACCAGAGAGAGAGAGAGGACAGTGGATAGAGTCAGAAACCAGAGAGAGAGAGGACAGTGGATAGAGTCAGAAACCAGAGAGAGAGAGAGGACAGTGGATAGAGTCTGAAACCAGAGAGAGAGAGGACAGTGGATAGAGTCAGAAACCAGAGAGAGAGAGAGGACAGTGGATAGAGTCAGAAACCAGAGAGAGAGAGAGGACAGTGGATAGAGTCAGAAACCAGAGAGAGAGAGAGGACAGTGGATAGAGTCAGAAACCAGAGAGAGAGAGGACAGTGGATAGAGTCAGAAACCAGAGAGAGAGAGAGGACAGTGGATAGAGTCTGAAACCAGAGAGAGAGAGAGAGGACAGTGGATAGAGTCAGAAACCAGAGAGAGAGAGGACAGTGGATAGAGTCTGAAACCAGAGAGAGAGAGAGACAGTGGATAGAGTCAGAAACCAGAGAGAGAGAGGACAGTGGATAGAGTCAGAAACCAGAGAGAGAGAGAGGACAGTGGATAGAGTCAGAAACCAGAGAGAGAGAGGACAGTGGATAGAGTCAGAAACCAGAGAGAGAGAGAGGACAGTGGATAGAGTCTGAAACCAGAGAGAGAGAGAGAGGACAGTGGATAGAGTCAGAAACCAGAGAGAGAGAGAGGACAGTGGATAGAGTCAGAAACCAGAGAGAGAGAGGACAGTGGATAGAGTCTGAAACCAGAGAGAGAGAGGACAGTGGATAGAGTCAGAAACCAGAGAGAGAGAGGACAGTGGATAGAGTCTGAAACCAGAGAGAGAGAGAGGACAGTGGATAGAGTCAGAAACCAGAGAGAGAGAGAGGACAGTGGATAGAGTCAGAAACCAGAGAGAGAGAGAGAGGACAGTGGATAGAGTCAGAAACCAGAGAGAGAGAGGACAGTGGATAGAGTCTGAAACCAGAGAGAGAGAGAGGACAGTGGATAGAGTCAGAAACCAGAGAGAGAGAGAGGACAGTGGATAGAGTCAGAAACCAGAGAGAGAGAGGACAGTGGATAGAGTCAGAAACCAGAGAGAGAGAGGACAGTGGATAGAGTCAGAAACCAGAGAGAGAGAGGACAGTGGATAGAGTCTGAAACCAGAGAGAGAGAGAGGACAGTGGATAGAGTCAGAAACCAGAGAGAGAGAGGACAGTGGATAGAGTCTGAAACCAGAGAGAGAGAGGACAGTGGATAGAGTCAGAAACCAGAGAGAGAGAGGACAGTGGATAGAGTCTGAAACCAGAGAGAGAGAGAGGACAGTGGATAGAGTCAGAAACCAGAGAGAGAGAGGACAGTGGATAGAGTCTGAAACCAGAGAGAGAGAGGACAGTGGATAGAGTCAGAAACCAGAGAGAGAGAGAGGACAGTGGATAGAGTCTGAAACCAGAGAGAGAGAGGACAGTGGATAGAGTCAGAAACCAGAGAGAGAGAGAGGACAGTGGATAGAGTCAGAAACCAGAGAGAGAGAGGACAGTGGATAGAGTCTGAAACCAGAGAGAGAGAGGACAGTGGATAGAGTCTGAAACCAGAGAGAGAGAGAGGACAGTGGATAGAGTCTGAAACCAGAGAGAGAGAGAGGACAGTGGATAGAGTCTGAAACCAGAGAGAGAGAGAGAGGACAGTGGATAGAGTCTGAAACCAGAGAGAGAGAGGACAGTGGATAGAGTCAGAAACCAGAGAGAGAGAGGACAGTGGATAGAGTCAGAAACCAGAGAGAGAGAGAGGACAGTGGATAGAGTCAGAAACCAGAGAGAGAGAGAGACAGTGGATAGAGTCTGAAACCAGAGAGAGAGAGAGGACAGTGGATAGAGTCAGAAACCAGAGAGAGAGAGAGGACAGTGGATAGAGTCAGAAACCAGAGAGAGAGAGAGGACAGTGGATAGAGTCTGAAACCAGAGAGAGAGAGGACAGTGGATAGAGTCTGAAACCAGAGAGAGAGAGGACAGTGGATAGAGTCAGAAACCAGAGAGAGAGAGGACAGTGGATAGAGTCAGAAACCAGAGAGAGAGAGGACAGTGGATAGAGTCGAAACCAGAGAGAGAGAGGACAGTGGATAGAGTCGAAACCAGAGAGAGAGAGGACAGTGGATAGAGTCTGAAACCAGAGAGAGAAAGGACAGTGGATAGAGTCAGAAACCAGAGAGAGAGAGGACAGTGGATAGAGTCTGAAACCAGAGAGAGAGAGGACAGTGGATAGAGTCAGAAACCAGAGAGAGAGAGGACAGTGGATAGAGTCTGAAACCAGAGAGAGAGAGGACAGTGGATAGAGTCTGAAACCAGAGAGAGAGAGGACAGTGGATAGAGTCAGAAACCAGAGAGAGAGAGAAGGACAGTGGATAGAGTGAGAAACCAGAGAGAGAGAGGACAGTGGATAGAGACTGAAACCAGAGAGAGAGAGAGACAGTGGATAGAGTCAGAAACCAGAGAGAGAGAGAGGACAGTGGATAGAGTCAGAAACCAGAGAGAGAGAGACAGTGGATAGAGTCAGAAACCAGAGAGAGAGAGACAGTGGATAGAGTCAGAAACCAGAGAGAGAGGAGGACAGTGGATAGAGTCGAAACCAGAGAGAGAGAGGACAGTGGATAGAGTCTGAAACCAGAGAGAGAGAGGACAGTGGATAGAGTCAGAAACCAGAGAGAGAGAGAGGACAGTGGATAGAGTCAGAAACCAGAGAGAGAGAGAGGACAGTGGATAGAGTCTGAAACCAGAGAGAGAGAGAGCAGTGGATAGAGTCAGAAACCAGAGAGAGAGAGGACAGTGGATAGAGTCTGAAACCAGGAGAGAGAGAGGACAGTGGATAGAGTCAGAAACCAGAGAGAGAGAGAGGACAGTGGATAGAGTCTGAAACCAGAGAGAGAGGACAGTGGATAGAGTCTGAAACCAGGAGAGAGAGAGGACAGTGGATAGAGTCAGAAACCAGAGAGAGAGAGGACAGTGGATAGAGTCTGAAACCAGAGAGAGAGACAGTGGATAGAGTCTGAAACCAGAGAGAGAGAGGACAGTGGATAGAGTCAGAAACCAGGGAGAGAGAGGACAGTGGATAGAGTCTGAAACCAGGGAGAGAGAGGACAGTGGATAGAGTCTGAAACCAGAGAGAGAGAGGACAGTGGATAGAGTCTGAAACCAGAGAGAGAGAGGACAGTGGATAGAGTCAGAAACCAGAGAGAGAGAGAGGACAGTGGATAGAGTCTGAAACCAGAGAGAGAGAGGACAGTGGATAGAGTCAGAAACCAGAGAGAGAGAGAGGACAGTGGATAGAGTCAGAAACCAGAGAGAGAGAGAGGACAGTGGATAGAGTCTGAAACCAGAGAGAGAGAGAGGACAGTGGATAGAGTCTGAAACCAGAGAGAGAGAGAGGACAGTGGATAGAGTCAGAAACCAGAGAGAGAGAGAGGACAGTGGATAGAGTCTGAAACCAGAGAGAGAGAGGACAGTGGATAGAGTCTGAAACCAGAGAGAGAGAGAGGACAGTGGATAGAGTCAAACCAGAGAGAGAGAGGACAGTGGATAGAGTCTGAAACCAGAGGAGAGAGGACAGTGGATAGAGTCAGAAACCAGAGAGAGAGAGGACAGTGGATAGAGTCAGAAACCAGAGAGAGAGAGAGGACAGTGGATAGAGTCTGAAACCAGAGAGAGAGAGGACAGTGGATAGAGTCTGAAACCAGGAGAGAGAGGACAGTGGATAGAGTCAGAAACCAGAGAGAGAGAGGACAGTGGATAGAGTCTGAAACCAGAGAGAGAGAGGACAGTGGATAGAGTCTGAAACCAGAGGAGAGAGAGGACAGTGGATAGAGTCAGAAACCAGAGAGAGAGAGGACAGTGGATAGAGTCTGAAACCAGGGAGAGAGAGAGGACAGTGGATAGAGTCTGAAACCAGAGAGAGAGAGGACAGTGGATAGAGTCAGAAACCAGAGAGAGAGAGAGGACAGTGGATAGAGTCTGAAACCAGAGAGAGAGAGACAGTGGATAGAGTCAGAAACCAGAGAGAGAGAGGACAGTGGATAGAGTCAGAAACCAGAGAGAGAGAGAGGACAGTGGATAGAGTCTGAAACCAGAGAGAGAGAGAGGACAGTGGATAGAGTCAGAAACCAGAGAGAG